TCTCTTCTCTGGACAATCGGGTGGCCCAACTCCAGAGACCTCACTAAACCTATCATCAGTTGTGATTTTAAAGGGTCTGGGTTGACTAACTTTGACACATCCCTATTTAAGCTAATGTTTGGAATGTCCAAGTGGGACACTAATGTCATCTACTATGGGTTCCACAAAGGATTTCCCGAGAAATTTAAAGGCTCAGTGCGTTGTGCCTTCGACATAAGAAAGAACGCCACATTTTGTAATTATAAAATTAAAAAATGTGGCGTTCTTTCTTATGTCGAAGGCATGACGCACCAAACCTTTAAATTTCTCGGGGAATCTTTTGTGAAACCCATAGTAGAGGATATCAGTGTCCCACTCGGGCATTCCAAACATTAGCTTAAAGAGGGTTGTGCCAAAGTTAGTCGAGCCAGACCCTTTAAAATCGCAACTGATGATAGATTTAGTGAGGTCTCCGGAATTGGCCCACCCGCTTGTCCAGAGCAGAGATAGTATGAAAAACTCAGCATTGTCATTGTTTTTTTTTATTGGTAAATGTAAATCTTTAGATCAAAACTGAAGTTCAATTTATAACAGATTCTTGTTATTTATGCTCAGTTTATACTCGAATTGGTATGATGTTGGTAATAGTTGGTTCATATTTAGCTATTATGCTCCAATTGTATGAATGTTAGTGGATGGAGTTATAATTGGTATGATGTTGGTAATAGTTGGTTCATATTTAGCTATTATGCTTAGGACTAAGCAAAAAATTCGAACTGAACCGTTGAATCGTAGATCCGAATCAAAATCGAACCAAATTTTTGGTTAATCGGGGTACTCGTTTCGGTTACAAATACCTCAAAGGAAGTATTTGCTCGATTCGGTTCGGTTACGGTTTTTAAAATTTTTTTACCCCGGTTAACCGAACCGAACCGAACCGTATATTATATTAAAATTTATAAAAAATATATTATATTATATATTATATATTATATTTATATATATTAAACTAACCTGTTGGCATGGCTATTCGCGAATTAACAGAACCGAACCGAACCGAACCGAGCAAACTTAACAAATTTTGTGTTAGGTTTGCTTGGTTCGATTCGGTTTCGGTTAGCAAGTTCAAATATTTGCTCGGTTCGGTTCGGTTCGGTTAGCAAATACCTCAAAAAAAGTCGAGTATCCGAACCATGTCCAGTCCTAATTATGCTCCAATTGTATAAATGTTAGTGGATGGAGTTATAAACTTGAATTGGTATGATGTTGGTAATAGTTGGTTCATATTTAGCTATTATGCTCCAATTGTATGAATGTTAGTGGATGGAGTTTGGTGCAAGGACGAACCTTGCCTTAATAATAATAATAATGATGAAAATATTAATAATAATGTAAGCACCTCTTTCTTATAGCGTGATTCATCAAAGAAATTTTAAACTTTTTGAAAATATTTCTTTGGCGCTTGCTCATTCTCATTCTTTTCTTTATTTCTTAACCTAACTCGCGCTTAAATTCTCGAGAGAACATCTCGAACATTTTCTTTCTTTCAATTACGACTAAGCAGAGCAATCAAATACTAAGTCAATAATTGAAAACATTCACAAACTTCAAACTTCAAACATTAAACATGGTTTTGAAAAAGAGCAATCAAAGCAAGTTCGAAAATATTTTACGAAAGCGAAAATAGATCATTGTTGTTGTAATTTTCTTTAATTTCCATTGATTTCCTATGTGTTATTTATGTGGCATGATGTACTCTTCTTTCTAAGTACACAATTACCCATAGATAAAAAAAAAAAAAATTAAAAAGAATCCAAAAATAAATAAATTAATAAATAATAAAGACACATAAGCAAAAAAATAAAATAAAATAATAATAAATAAGAAAAATATTTTTAGAAAAATTGATATTTATATATTAAAAAAGTATTAAATTTTTGTTGATATAGTTCGTTAATATATATTAAAAAATTATTAAAAAAATAAAAATATTTCGTTAAAAATAATTATATTTCGATAATATAAAATAAAACATAAAATTAAAAAATTAAAAAAATAAAAAACAAAAAATAAATAAATATGTAATTCGTTAAATATATATTGAAAAAGTATTAAAAACTTTCGACATAGCTCGTTAATATATTAAAAAATTAAAAAAATATTTTTAATGTTTCATTAAAAATAAATATATTTCGTTAATATATATTAATAAAATAAATTAATAAAAATAAGAAAATAAATATATATTTTTAATTTTGTCTTAATATTTAACAAAAATTTTTTTTCATATTAATATAAAATGAAATATATTTTGTTTTTTTATTTTTTTTTATTTGTTATTTTTCATGTTTTTTTAATATATATTAACGAAATATATTTATGTGTTTAACGAAATAATTTTTATTTTTGTAATATTTTTATTATATATTTAACGAAACATATGTTTTTTATTTTTATTGTTTTATTCTTTATTTATTTTTTAATATATATGAAGGACTTGTTTGTTATGTTTTTGTATTTATTTTTTTGTGTTTTATATGTTAGTCGAGTCGTTTTTAGGTGCGTTTGTGTGTCATCCGGTCCATTTTATTGTGTTTTGTGTGTTTTTACTTGCGTTATGCGTTTATGTATTTTTCCGTATCTTCGCGTCTCTTTTGGTGTTTGGTGTAGGTCCAATTGGCAATTGTCGGGAAGACGAGTCGTTCGTGCCATTTTAGAGCCATGGATCGAACCATTCGAGCCATCCGAACCATCACCCGAGAGACAAAGTCAAGAGTCATGCCCAAGCACTAAGGGGTCAGAGGTAGCCGTCGCCACTATCGCCTGCACTAATATTCTTTGGACGGGTGTCCCCTTGCACATGGGGTAGACTGTCAGAGGTGGTTATTGCTATCAACCACTGCATTCTCGACACGTGTCCCCCTGCACATGGGTTAAATATTCTCCTGAAATTCGGTAAGGTGCTCTCCCACGCGCCTGTGACTGGGCCGATCAGTTGTAGCATTAAGTCCTCGAAATGGTCGACCTGTTGAGGTCGACTGAATTGCTCGATCACTCATCTGGTCGAGTGATGGGTTGGTCGACTACTTGACTGGTCGACAGGTTAGCTGCTCGATCTCTCCGCCACTTGGTTCGGTTCCTTCATGATATGACCTCCTCGTCCGGTTTCAACAAGCCGATTTAACCTGGTAGGTATAATATCCTATATCATATATATATATATTTATGTTTTTAATATTTTTCATATATATTAACGGAACATATTTATTGTTAACAAAATATTAACAAAATACTTTTTATTTTTTAATAATTTTTTAATATATATTAACGAACTATATCGAATTTGTTTTAATACATTTTTAATAAATATTTAACGATATATATTTTTTAAGTTTTTTCTTATATATATTATTATGATTATTATATTATATTATTTTTTTTTGCTTATGTGTCTTCATTATTTATTTATTTATTTATTTATTTTTGGATTTTTTTATTATTTTTTATCTATGTGTAATTACACAACATGCCACGTAAACATGCCATGTCAGAAGAAGGGTGTCACATCATACCACGTAAATAACACGTTGGAAATTAAAGAAAGTTATAATTCCACGTCATTACTTAATCAGACCACGTAAGCTTTTTTATCCATGTGAAATGATTACTGTATCTTTTCTGACCAAAATGTTAACTACATGTTTAGTTTTCGTGAGTGACAACAAAATGTTTCTTTTGTTTACAACGTTCAACTTGATGTATCATTTTTGAAATTCTGCCACGCAAATGCATACAAGCCATTTTAGCATGCTTAATCTATCTATCTATCTATCTATCTATCTATCTATCTATCTATCTATCTATGTATACTATTATAAAAGTGTAAATGAATCTTTAAAAGTTTGACGTGCCTAAAATACTCTTACTTATTATCTTTGTAATGGCAATTTTGTAATCTCTCTATACTCAACATTCCTACTACGCCTGATCTGAAGACAGTCCTTCCACAAGCAGGATCTCGAACAACTTCAACTATTCACGACCATCCCGAAAAAAAAAATTCTCCGACAAGATCTCCAACAACTTCAACAGTTTTGTAATGACTCCAACTATCCGTGCATCGGACATTTCATGACCGTCCCTAAAAAAATTACTGCAGCGAAAATTCTCATATTTCTTTTATTGCGCGTTCTTGTTTATTATTGAGAAGTGGTGTAACGGGATGCTACTCTGTAGCTATTGTTAGAATAGCAAACTAGAAAATGGTGTATAAGGAACAAATGGCCTTGTTTGGCGATCAACGAATAGCAGATAGCGGATAGCGAATTGTATCAGCGGATACCGGATAGCAGATTATATTAGCTAATTTGTCCAGCGGATTGCATTAGCGATTTTCAAATAAGTGTTTGGTGAAAAGCTGAAAGCTTATAGCTGTTTAACATTCAAAATGACTAATAATGACATTTTATTATTTAGGGTGTATTCTTTTAATAATAATATATTAAAATATTTGATATTATATATTTAGTTGGTAGTTTATAAATATATTATTTTTAAAAAAAAAATTACTAACACTTGATGAAAAAGTAATGAATTTTACATTTTTCTAGATAAATTAATCATATGGATGACATATTATTATTTATTAACACCATAAACCAATGTAGATTGTAAAATAAATAAATACAAATTAAAAAATTCCTAGTAAATAAGTTTTGTGAATCCTCTATCCCAAAAAGCTGCTATAACGAGCTTTTTCTAAATTAGAGTTTTGGGCCCAAAAAGCTTATCAAATGAGCTAGTTACCAAACAAGCTCAATAGCGAATTTGACGGGTCAAACCTTTCAATTAAGTCCAATCCGCTAATTTTTGTTCAATCCGCTATCTTCCAATTACTCATATCCAATCCAAATCGTACTACGAGTCCTATTCGGATACGGAACAAGAATACAAACAACCTTGCGGACATAAATAGACAACACGCAAAGCATTAATCGGCAAAAAATAAAATCGATATATCGATGGAGCCAGCTGCATCCGCCTCTGCATACCTGAGCCAGGATTTGGTTAACCAAATCCTGTCCAAGCTGCCCGCGCAACCCTTGATCCGTCTGAGTGTGGTCTGCAGATCATGGCGGTCCATCATCTTCTCTCCCGAATTCCTTTCCTTGCACCTCCGCCATAACCGCCACAAGGCCTCCCAAATCGTGCTATGCGACGAAAGTTATACCAAGAAGAAGCGCGGCAAGTTGCAACTCTACGAGCGCTACTGGTTGCTGGATGACGATCAGCATCACAGTTTGCGGCCGCTGAATTGCCCCTTCAAGTACCCCCCAAACTTAACCTCTCACAAAATTGTCAGCACCATCAACGGCTTGATATGCATAACCGGATGGGGAGAATTCTCTGGGAATTCTTTACTTTCCCTACCCATCATACTATGGAACCCCAGCGTGCGGAGGCATGTCGTCCTACCAGATTTTCCGCCCCTCGAAGAAGGAAAACAAGCAGCCGACTACACGTCGGTTGAATTTGGATACGAGGCCACCACCGACGACTACAAAGTTGTGGCCATGAGAAGTGGTAGTGACATACGAGGACATTTGGCTGCCCATGTTTACTCCTTGAATTCAAATACATGGCGGAGGGTGGACGTGGGCCCTTCTATGCGCACAGGAGGAGGAAACAGGAGACTATATTGCACAGGTGCTTTCGTTAGAGGCAAGATCCATTGGCTTGTCACACGTGACTATGAGATGAAGGTAGGTCATTCCTTTTGGTGCCTTTATTCCTTCGATGTGAAGGAAGAAGTTTTTGAAAAGATGGCGTTGCCACCAGAGGACCCGACCCGCAATAAGCATACTTATTTTCCACATGTTACTGTGGTGGACGACTCGTTGTGCGTGATTGATTCTCCGACTTTGCCTTCTACCATTTGGATGCTCAAGAAAGAGGGATCTGCAACGTCTTATTCTTGGACCAAATTGTACAGCCTCGACCCCATTGCCGAAAATATGACCGCTAAATTGGTTGTCTATTTGAAGAATGGTGAGTTCCTCTTGGACACCTACTGCATCGACGACATGGTCGGCATGGATTTGGTTTGCATCTTTCAGGTGTATGAGCCTGGAACGAGACGGTGTACCGTTCTTCACACGCGCTCCAACCAAAACGATCATGTGGCTCTCGCGTTGGTCAATCACCACGAAAGTCTCGTTCTGCTCGACCGCCGCATCAGAGCAGTGAGTGCGGAGGATCCAAGGACGAGTAGGGAAAGAGTCCAGATACAGCGAAGCTGTTGGTCTTCTGAAGTTCTAATCACAAAAGACACAACTAAACTGGAAAAATGAAGTAATTTTTTTAATTAATGGTGATCATTGTTGGACACAATGTTGTATCTTGTTGGATCCTCCACCAAACTGAAGATAATCTACTGTCAATCTTTCTTTCTTTTTTTTTTTTTTTTTT